CTAGGAGTGATCCCCTAAGCACAGAGCCAGGAGTAAACCCCGAGCATCTCCAGGTCTGGCCCATCTCCCCCCAAAAATTGGGAAAAAAATTATTGTCAAAAATTTGGAAAATATTTATTGTCACAATCTTGGGCAAATACTTGGGCCATTTGGCCTCCATTTTATTTTCAGATATGTCTCCCACAAATACACATACATGTAGATGACTGTGTCCATTTGTACTGAAACCAAACTAGCACTGTAGAACTGTCTTCTCGTTGTTCACTGATTTGCTTGAGCAGGCCCAGTAATGTCTCCATTGTGAGACCTTGTTGTTACTGTGTTTGGCATATTAAATATGTCACCGGTAGCTTGCCAGGCTCTCTTAGAGGGGCAGAGGAATCGAACTCTGGTCAGCCGGTCAGTGCAAGGCAAACTCCCTACACGCTAAGCTATCGCTCCAGCCCAACCAAAACTAGAAACTTTTCAAATGCTAATCTAATGCCTGTTAACCAGTGCATAGATGTTAGTGGTGTATTGGGACTGGAGATAATGCCAGGACCAAAGCACTTGCTTTGCATGCAGGAGATGGATGCCACCTCTCCTGTGTGGTCCCCCCACCCCATACACATCCACCCATTGTGGATCCAGGAGTACTTGGTGCGGATTAAAAATAGTCCACTTAAGCCACACACACACACACACACACACACACACAAATATGTCACACAGAGTCATAACAAGTAATTTAATTGAGCTCACGTTGGAAACAGACCAAACTTACTGGAAAGTCCAGGCTAGTGGTCACTCCCCTGGGGGAGGGGAATCATAACTGGAAAGGGCGTGGGGAGAGCTCACTGGAACTTTAGGAGTACTTGGATTTTTCTGCATTCTTTTAATTTGGGTGGGGTCACACCAGGTGATGCTCAGGACTCAATTCCTGGCTCTGCACTTAAGGGATCACTCCTGGTGGGGCTTGGGGACCTATTGTGCCTAGGATGGAATTCCCATCAGCCATGTGTGAGGCAAATGCCTTACCTGCTGTCCTATCACTGTGACCCCTAGAAACTTCTAGGTTTGTTTGGGGACCACAGGGTTTGCCTCGGGGTCTGTGCTCAGAAATCACTCCTAGCAGGCTCTGCGGACTGTATAGGGCGCTAGGGATTGAACCAGTGTTGCCCACGTGTAAGACAAATGCCGTACAGGCTGTACTATGACTCCGGTCCCTAGTCTTCATGGCTTCAGTATGCATAGAAGTTTTGATTTGGAGCAGCCCAGAAGAGGGAGGGAGGTTCTGGAAGTCAAGTTTTTGCTTAGTTGGAAAAAGTAGATTGAGAATGGTTCTGGAACAATAGAAGAGCCTGGGGTAGACATTGAATAGAGGACGGTATTTGGGTCGTAAAACTAGTTGAACCAGATCAAAAGGGTGTATCCTGGGAAAATGGTGCAAGGGAGGTTGAAGGAATAGGGTGGGACATGATTAAGGATGCCTTTGAAAGTCAGAGGCAGAGGAATGTAAATTTAATAGGGAATTTGGAGCCAATGAAAGTTTTTGTAGCTGAAGGTATCCTGGGAGGAAGAGGTATTTAAGGACCATTAACCTGGCAACATTTCCAGGGGCAGCTGGGTGGCGGCTGTAGTAATTTAGGATGGCTGGCTGGGGGTGAATGGAGCTTGAAAGAAAGGATAAGTGGATTTAAGAGAGAATTTGAGGGGCTGGAGCAATAATACAGCGGGTAGGGCGTTTGCTTTGCACGCGGCTGACCCGGGTTGGGGTTCGATTCCCAGCATCCCATATGGTCCCCTGAGCACCGCCAGGAGTAATTCCTGAATGCAGAGCCAGAACTAACCCCTGTGCATCGCTGGATGTGACCCAAAAAGCAAAAATAAAAGATAATTTGAAGGTGGGGGGGGAACAAGGACTGCAATCCAATTTGTGAGTCTGCCTGTGACAGCAGTTTGCTTTGGAGCAAGAGAGGCTGAGAAGGGGAGACAATTTGGAGAAAGAAAAAGAAGGAAATTGAGTTTAGGAACTGTTGTTTTTGAGGTACTGAAGAAAAGTCTCCTGGCTGTTGGGGGTGGAGATGCCTTCATGGAGAGACATGTTCCTCTAGGACCCAGGAGCAGTGTGATGAGCAGTGGAAGGGACTGCAGAGAAGCTAGAGCCTTTGGGCTGGTATCAGTTGTCCTTTTGAGGCTAACCTGATTGGTGGGATTTGGTGAATTTAACCAAGTGGTAAGCTAGAGCTACATTCTGTCCTGCACCGTCATATAGTAAATGTACTAGTGTTTTAATTTCTTGGTTCGGGGGCCACACCTGGCAGTGCCCAGGGCTTACTCCTGCCTTTGTGCAGAGATATCACTCCTGGTGGAGCTCTGAGGACCTTATGGAGTGCTTGGGCTTGAAACCCGGGTTGACTGCATGCAAGACTAACCTAAACCCTCTGTACGCGGTAGTGCCTTTTTGAAAAAACCTTTGGTCATGGTGCCTGGGATTGACCCCAGATTTCTCAAATTCAAAGCCCATCACTTGTCTACTGAGCCACATCTTCTACAATGCCCCCACCATATCTCCATTTTATGCTCTTCTCTTTCTGTTTCCCTGGGATGTTTGGAATGGGACTTTTCTTGGTTGTGTCTATAGGTTTTGAATGCTTTGCATACAAGGAGAATACAGTCCAAGCATCTAGGGAGTTGGAACAGGCTGGAGAGAGCAAAAGAGCAGATTAGGAGCTGGTATGATAGCACAGCCGATATGGTGTTTGCCTTGCACAGGATTGACCAGGATTCGATTCCCAGCATCCCAGGAGTGATTCCTGACTGCAGAGCCAGGAGTAACCCCTGTGCATCCCTGAGTGTGACCCCAAAAGGAAAAATAAAATAAAAGCAGATTAGATTCCAGACATCCTTTCCAGTGATTTAAGAAAAGTCCAAGCTTTCCTTCTCAGCATCCCTCCAGGGAAGCGTGGTCATTGGCCACACCGACCTGTTCCATCTTGCACAGAGGGAAAGAATAGCCCCCAACCCTAGGCAGGGCAAGGTCTTTTTTTAAATTTTATTTTTATTTAAAACACTGTGATTTACTAAGTTGTTTATTATACAGTTGTTTCAGGCATTTAGTGTTCCAACTCCACCAGTGTGACCTTCCCTCCACCATTGTCCCCAGTTAACCCCCATCCCCAAACTATCCCCTCTTAGAGGCACATTACAAATTTGCTTTATATTACTCTTTCAACCCAACTTTAAGAAATAGCAAAGGGAATGATCAGGAAATAAATCACTAAGAGCCCATTTGTGATCGGCAGTGTAAGTTCTTTTCAAAGCCTTGGCCACATCTCTTAGCGCCTCAGGCTTGGCTGTAACATGCAAGCTTGTCAAGGCCGGAGCTGAGCTGGATGATGAGGGTTTGTGTATAATTTGCAAGCTGTTGCCGAGGCACGAGGTGTGCACACACCCTGGGGATTCCTCTAGGGACTCAGTTCTCTGTTGTCCCTAGCGTGTCCCTACTTGTGGATGATGCTGCAAGGCTCCAGTAGCATTAAACACCCGGTTGGTATCTTAACAGGAAATCATTCCTGTTTACGGGGAAGGGCATGGGACAATGTGGACAGTACATAGAGGGTTGCCCATTATTTATACTGCTGGTGTGCACACTGAAATAATTGCTGACGGTGTTTTGGCTGGTGTCAGGGAGAGACTTTGGACTGCTCTGCTCTGCACTCAGGGGGCCCTCCTGGCTGTACTGTGCCACCCTTTGTGGTATGATAGGATAAAGCGCTTCCGCCGTGTAAATTTGTGATGTCCCATGTCCCTATATTAAACCTGAGAATATCCTGAGTCAAGGTATAGCCGAAAAGGCCCAGGTCTTTAATTTTTTTTTTCTGTCTCTATTTAAGGCTTCTTTGCTGAAATGAAAGAGCTATAGGTAGCAAAGTTAGTGAGTACGTAGGAAAGTGATTTTGCCCCAGGACCACCAGTTCATTATCCAGGACTTGAACTCTGGGGACCTACCTTTGCACAGTGTGCTCCAGTCCTTTGAACTCTCTTTGGCCTGTTGGTGTGAGAGAAGGAATTTAACACCCTTTCTAAACCACTCCTTATTCATTTTCCTTAAACACACACACACACACACACACACACACACACACATACACGTACACTTGCCTTGCAGTACACTTGCACATTGAACATGCCTGACCTGGTTTTTATCTCTGGCACCACATTCTATCCTGATCCCCCCCAGAATCTGCCAGGGGCCGAGAGGCAGGAGTATTCTCTGAGCATAGCTGGGTGTAGCCCCCAAACAAAAATATAAACAAACAAAAAAAACCAAAGCACACATACTCACAAATTCTGGAACCAGAAAGATAGTACAGGGATTAAGGCATTCACCTTGACTGTGCAATGACCCAGATTTGATCCCCAGTACCAGACTGGAGCTCTTTGCATGCTGAAGGACGAGGTTCTATTTCCAAGCACCACTGGATGGACACAAAGCCAAATAAACTAACCCCCTCCCCAAACCTCGTAAGTCCTATCACGCAAACAGCAGTTGCCCCAAAGAGAACTAGCATAAGGCATAGATAAATGTGGGAATGAGTATTAAGAGGCAAAAGGCAAATGTCACCCACCTGTCTAAGCATCCTAGATTGAGTAAACTTTGGGGAAGGGCCTAACGGCATCAGTAGGATACCTTAAAAACTACAAAGGAAAATAGTCACCAAGGTACCATACTACATTAAAAATCACTTTGCTTCATTTTAGAACTGCTTGGACTTCAGTTAGTGCATAGTTTGCCCTCTTCTTTCTTTAGGAGGGCCATACCTGCAGGGCTCTGGGATGACTCCATCCTTTACTCCTGGCGGTGTTCAGGGGATTGACTGTGGTGACGGATTTAAATTTGGGTCTGCCAATGCAAGGCAAGCGCCTTACCTCCCTCCAGTGCTATTCCTCATGGCCTCCTTTTATTTCATATATGTTTTGTACGATTTTAAAAAAATCTTTCTTTTTCATTAATCTAGGATCTTTCTCATCTTCCGCATTGGAAATTAATCAGACTAATTCGGAAGGCACGTGCCTTTACGCAAAATGGCAGATGAATTTTACAGTAACATATGAGACCACAAGCAAAAGTCTTGTAAGTATTTTTTTTGAATTTTTTAATAGGGATTGAATTCTTTTTTGCCATTGGCATTTGTTTAAGTATACTTTTATATGTTAGCACAAGTTTTGTGCGGTTTAAAAAATACTCTGGGAAGTAATGTGTTGGAATGAATATTCTCATTAGGTTTTCAGAGGTTTTTCCTTTTTGTGGGGGGACCACACCAGGGCTTATTCCTGGCTCTGCACTCAGGCATCACTCCTGGGGGGTCTTGGAGACCGTATGGGATGCCAGGGATTGAACTGCAGTTGGCATGTGCAACGCAAACACCCTGTGTACTGTCCAGGCCGTTTTTTAGTCAGAAGACCAGCTAGAGAGTTAGTACAAGCAGGTAAGGTGCTTAGTTTCCCTGCGGCTAACCCAGGTTCAATCCCTGGCACTGCATATGTTCCCCAGAACACTGCCTGTAGTGATCTCTGAGCACAGAGCCAGGAGTAAGCCCTGCATACTGCCAATGTGGTCCCCAAACAACAACAAATTAGCTGAAGAATAGTAGGTCTCTTTTTTTTTTTGGGTCACACCGGCAATGCACTGGGGTTACTCCTGGCTCATGCACTCAGGAATTACTCCTGGCAGTGCTTGGGGGACCAAATGGGATGCTGGAAATCAAATCTGGGTCGGCCGCTTGCAAGGCAAACGCCCTACCTACGGTGCTATTGCTCCAGTCCCAGAATAGTAGTTTTTTTTTTCTTTTTTAATTTTTATTAGTGAAACACCATGAGGTACAGTTGTAGACTTACAAATTTTTGTGCTTGGGTTTCAGTTATCCAATGATCGAACACCCATCCCTCCACCAGTGCCCATTCTCCACCACTACTGATCCCAGTATCCCTCCTACCCCCCATCCCCCCAGCTAGTTTTCCTTTTCCTTTTCGACTTAAGCGAATTCATCCAGGGGATGGTATGTAGCTGAACAATCTTGACTAGTTTTGGTTTTGTTTTTAGTTTTTGGGCCACACCCACGGTGCTCAGGGGGGTTACTCTTGGTTCCGCATGCAGGATTCACCCCTGGTGGGCTCAGGGGCTTGTATGGGATGCTGAAAATCACACCTTGGTTGGCCCCATGTGAGGCAAGTTCCCTACCCTCTGTACCATCTCTTGCCCTGAGTCTGACAAGTTTAGGACTCATTTTAGTTTTCATAGTGGGCCAGGTAAAATTAATGGTGCTTGCCGGTTGGGGGTAGCGAAGCATTGATTATAGACGCCCCGTGGTACTTTGTGCCTGGACGCTTATGGGCCATTCCTGCCCTTGTGCCCATGATCTCTAAATTGTCTTTTTTTGTTTTAGAGAAATGTAAGCATTTCCGACCTTCAGTCTGTAGTCTACGACGGAAGCACTTGTGGAGATGGAGATGACCAGATCCATTCCCGAATTGAGGTGCACTATGGATCTGGTTTTATCTGGATGGTAAATTTTACAAAGGACCTGTCGACGTCAACCTATTCCATTGACAACATCTCATTTTTGTACAACACAACCGATAACTCTACGTTTCCTGATGCTGAAGATAAAGGTAATGGGCAGACTTGGTTTTGGGGTGCTCTCCATTTTAGAGTCACATGCACTCCTGCTGAGTATATTCTTTCTTCTTTTCATTTGCTTTCTGGGGCTTTCTTTTTCTCTCTTTCCCTCAGATTTCCTAAATTGAGCTGTTGATTTCAGATAGAAAATAGAAAGGACACTGGATCAGGTGCTGGCCTTGCATGCAGCACCAAATATGGTCCCTTGAACTCCACCAGGAGTGATCCTTGAGCACAGAAGCAAGAATTAAGCACTGAGCACTACTGGGTATGGCCCAAAAAAAACAAAAGAAAAAGAAGAAAATAATTGGATTTGTGTTAAGTTCTCCCTTTTTTTATTGTTGGGTCACACTCAGCAGTTACAGGGGTTACTCCTGGCTCTGCACTCAGGAATTACTCCTGGCGGTGCTCGGGGAACCATGTGGGGTGCTGGGAATCAAATCCAGGTCAGTTGCGTGCAAGGCAAACACCCTACCTGCTGCACTATCGCTCCACCCCCATTGTGTTTTCCTCTTATGGATGAAAAATAATAATTAAAAAGCTTTTCTGCAGACCAGAGAAATTGTTGTGCACACGACTAACCAGTGTTTGATCCCTGGAACCATACTGGGTCTCTCGAATACCACGAGGAGTTATCCCTGAGCAGAGAGCCAGGACTAATTCTTGAGCACTGCTGGCCATGACCCCAAAGAACAAAAATAACAAAAAAAAATTCCTCAGCAGGTCTGTCTTCTAAACTAGAATGGAATTTTCATGACCTTTGATTAGTTTTACCCCAACCATGCACAGGGACAGCATTGTCTTTGGACACAGTGACAAAATTTTCTGTCATTGTATGGATGCTTTTACTGTATCAGTTGTGTACCAGGAGCCGTTCATTCAGGCCTTAATGCAACTCTGATAAAAAGATAGTATCTTAGTTTTATAGGTAAAGTGGACGTTGAGACTGGATGAGATTCAGTAGCTTTCCTGAAGGCCATAGGAATTAGAAAATGGATGAGCTAGTGTTTGAAGCAAAGTTGTTGTTCCTCAGAGTTCGTGCACTTATGACCAGCAGAAAAGCTTTACCTATAAATCTTTCTTCATTTAAATGATATTTTAATGGAAAAGTGAATTCTTAATAGTAAAATGACAGAAGTCAATGTTTGCTGCTCTTTGGAGACAATGTCAGGTCAAAGAAACATGCTCTTGGGGGCTGGAGCAATAGCATAGCGGGTAGGGCATTTGCCTTGCATGCGGCCAACCCGGGTTTGATTCCCAGCATCCCATATGGCCCCCCGAGCACCACCAGGAGTAATTCCTGAGTGTGTGAGCGAGGAGTAACCCCTGTGGATTGCCGGGTGTGACCCAACAAAGCTAAAAAAAAAAAAGAAACTTGCTCTTAGGCCAGTATTTGGTTTTTATTTATTGGGGGGTTGAGGCGACACCCAGCAGTGCTCTGAGGTTTGTATACTGTGCCAGGGAGCTAATAGGGGTCAGCTGTGTGCAGGGCAAGCACCTTAGAACCCTTGCCCATGTTCTGGCACCTTGGCACTCTTAGGTTATTCTTGCAGCTTCCCAGAACCGAAAATACATAGTAAAATATTTTATATGTATAGGTAAGATGTGATTTCTATTTTTTTAGGATTATATTTTCTTTTTCCTCCCCATTTGAGATTGGGGCAACATGATATTTGTAGTAGCTTAGTATTTCTCACAGTATTTTATTCTGGTGCGATCTGGGGGATAAATGGCTTTCTGGTTTTGGGGCCACAGTGTGGAAGAATTCAGGGATCACTCCTGCTTCTCTTCAGGGAACATTCCTGGTGGTGCTTAGGAGCCCATTTGAGGTGTTGAGGAGTGAGCCTGGGTCAGTTGCATGTGCCTTACCCATTGTGTTATTTTTCTGTCCCCTCAGAAGTTATTTTTTAAATTTGGGGGCCACACCTGGCAGTGTTCAGGGTTTACTCCTGCCTTTAGATCAGGGATCACTCCTGGCAGTGCCCTAGGGACCATATGGGGTGCTGGGGATTAAATATGAGTCAGCTGTATGCAAGTCAAACTCTTGACCCCTTGTACTTGTCTCTTTGTACCGCCTTCAAAGACTTGAAAGTGAAGGAGCTCATGTGAAACTTGGAAAGTATTGCAGACTGAAGTTGGAAATTGGGAGCTGAAGCAATAGCACAGCGGGTAGGGCGTTTGCCTTGTACGCGGCCAAGCCAGGTTTGATTCCCAGCATCCTACAAGGCTCCCCGAGCACCACCACCTGAGTACAGAGCCGGGAGTAACCCCTGTACAATGCCGGGAGTGACCCCCCCCAAAAAAAAACAAAAGAAATTGAATGCAAGTTATTTTTCCTTTTGTTGCTGCCTTAGCCATTTTTATTCAAGCATTATTTGCAGCATTGCTTTACAGCAGTTGTGATAGAAGATACAAAACATAGAGTTGCCACTATTTATAATTGAAGGAGAAACAAAACACAAGTTTTTTTTTAAATCTCTTAGTTTGAGGTTAAACCAAAGCAGGTTTGTTGTTGGATACACACACACACACACACACACACACACACACATTGCCTTTGCTTTACATTGCTCTTTCAGAACTGGTATCAGATGCAGGCGTCACTTTCAAGGAGCTTGAAAACTAGTTAGAAAAGGGGACTGATGGGGGATCTCAGCAGGAGAGCGTTTCCCTTGCATGTGTGAGGTCCTGGGCTCACACAGTATAGGAATGGACGGGATGGCAAGCTAAAGCTAAATTGCTGTCCCAGCTTATATGGAGCAGTAGAAAACCCTTGAGACTGGGAATTTGTTTTGTTAGTAATTTGGTTTGGGGGTAGTGTGGGAGGTTCTAAGCCTGCCTGCGGATGTCTGTGGTTTGGAACAGCAGATCTCCCCAGTGGGCCTGAGATGGAACGGAAAGAAAAGAGAGGTCACTGGGTGTTGGCAGGGTACGGAATCTTGGCTTTGGGGACTCAAGTTAAAATTGAGCTGGAGCCAAAACTGAGGAAGTAGGGGGATTTTGAACGTTTATATCCAGCAGGGGGAAGCAGAGGCCACAGCACTGATTGGAGAGCTGCCTGAATGAAAACAGGCTCTGTATAGCCCAAGGAAATACAGGTTGGCTGGGCGCAATAGGTCTTCTATATAGGGGGACTTTGCAAGCCAAGGAAAGACATTTAGCTGGATGAGTAGGCACTGGGGAACCATTTTAGGTTTTTGAGCCAGAGAATGAGGTAACAGAAAACACAGTCTTTTTGAGGGGGCTACAAACCAGAAGGGCTCAGGGCTTACTCCTGACTCTGTCTCAGGTTTCACTTGGGGCTGTGCTTTGGGAGACCATATGTGTGTGTGTATTTTTAAATTTTGCTTTTTGGGTCACACCTGGCGGTGCACAGGGGTTACTCTTGGCTAATGCACTCAGGAATTACTCCTGGCAGTGTTTGGGGGACCATATGGGATGCTGGAGATCGAAACCAGGCTGGCCGTGTGCAAGGCAAACACCCTACCCTTTGTGCTATCACTCCAGCCCCTGGGAGATCATATATGATGCCAGAGATTTAACCCAGGTGAGCTGCGTACAAGGTAGGCTGTCCCATCTCTCCGACTGTACTGTTGCTCTGACCTCAGTCTATTTGAAAGACTCCTACAGCATCAATTTGGAAGTGAGGAGGTTGCAGGCAGAGATGCCAACTTAAGAGGCATCAAGGGAGGGTGTCATGAGTGCCTGGGTTAAGAGGTGAGCAGTCAAAGGAGGTGAAATTTACTTATTTTTTGTTGGGGTCCACCTGAGGGCTTAAACACTCAGGGCTTGCTCCCAGTGGTGCTGGGGATCAAACCTGGCCCTCCCATGTATACTCTTGCCATGGGAACCATCTCCTTGGCCCATGAGATGGGGTTGATTTTTTTTTTCCTTTTGGTGTCACACCTGGCAATGCACAGGGGTTACTCCAGGCTTATGCACTCGGGAATTACTCCTGGCAGTGCTGGGGGAACAATATGGGATCCTGGGAATTGAACCCGGGTCAGCCGCGTGCAAGGCAAACGCCCTACCTGCTGTGCTATCGCTCCAGCCCCCAAGATGGGGTTGATTTAGTCCAACATATCTGAATAGGGAAACGGGTGCACTCTTAATATTTTCACATATCCCTCAGCCCTCACACCCCTTTTTCTGTGTTTCTGGGCTACAGCCAGCTGTGCTCAATGGTTATTCCCAGCTCTGTGCTCAGGGATCACTCCTGGCAGGTCTTGGGTCAGCCGTGGCAAGGCAAGCATTTTACCTGCTTTCCTATCTGGTTTTATTTGCTTTTTTGGGGAAGTAAACATTTTATTTGGAGTTTTTTTTTTGAGAGAAGCAGGATGAGATAAGTGGGAGATTGGAGAGTAAGAGAGTCAGAGTAGCACGATCAAGAGAGAATGAGGGCTTCTCCAAGAATGGAGAGAGCTTTATTTGCTTTTTTCTCTTGCGCTTCCCTTTTGTTGTTGCTGCTGCTGTTGCAATGGACTGCTGTCATTGTTGTGGTGACCTGAGGCTGTGTACTGTGTTGAGGAGTCCCATGCTCGGTTTTTGTCACGAGGTGGGGGGGTTTATGGTACCAAGGATGAATCAAAGTGTTGTGGGGCAGAGGGTAACTCTTGTAGATAAGGCCCTACCTCTGAGCCACATTTCCCAGACCTTCATTGTAGTTTAAATGGCCCCCTAGAGAGCCAGAGCTATAGGACAGCAGGTAAGGCTTTGTACACAGCTGACCTGGGTTCAATCCCTGGCATCCCTGAGAACTTCCAGAGTGATTCTTGAGTGAGAGCCAAGAGTAACCCCTGAGCATTGTCAGGTGTGGCCCCAAAACTAAAAAAAAAAAAAAACATAAAACAAAAAACAAAAAACAAAACACTCCCTAAATGACCATGGATTATTTTTGAAATTACTGGGTTTTTTTTTTCAGGTTTCTAATAAAGTAAAGTTGTTATTTAAAATATTTTTTGCTTGATGAAAACACAGGAAGAAGCAAAAAAACTCACAAGAAAGTAGGCTGGGGAGATGAGAAAACTCATCTCTAGCTTGTGTGAGGCCCTGACTGTGAGCCCCAGCACTACTGAATATGACCTTAGTAAACCCAGGTGGATGGATGAGCATGGCCCAGAGTCATCCTAGCTCCCCAAAACACCGTTGGGTGTGGCCCTTATATAAAAATAAAATAATTAAGATAAAGGGAAACATTTAGAAAAGTACAAAGACTAATAAAATTGCCTCACACATTACACTGTTGGGGAGGAATAATCTTTCTCCCTCTAGCTTTTTTTCATTTGGTTTTGGGGCCACACCCAGCGGTACTTAGGGCTTACTCCTGGCTTTAAACTCACAGATCACTCCTGGCAAGCACAGAGGGCCATATGGGGTGCTGAGGATCAAACCCAGGATGACCATGTTCAAGGCACATGCCTTACCCATCACACTATTACTTCGGCCCCTTCTTTTTTGTTTTGTTTGGGTGGAGGGACACACCAAAAGGTGCTCAGAGCTTACTCTGCTCAAGGATCACTCCTGGTGGGACTCTAGGGACCATAAGAGGTGCCGGGAATTGAACCCGGGTAGGCCACATGCAAGGAAAGTGCCCTGCCCACTCACTGTACAATCTTCAGTATCCCCTCTAGCCTTCTAAATTTCCTGAGACTACCCCTGTCCCCTCCATTGTCAAAGACAGATTAGCAGGAGAAAAGCAGAAGTTTGATACATACATACATACCTCCTCTAGTATGCGAGGGACCCAGAAGTAAAACCTGACATAGCCTTGATGATACTTTCGGGGATTCCTTTTGTAATTACTCCCCCAAGCCTTTTCTTTGTTTTGGTTTGGTTTTGGGTCACAACCAGCTGTGCTCAGGGCTTACACCTGGTTCTGCACTCAGTTCACTCTTGCCATGCTTGGGGGACTGTATGAGGGTACCAAGATTTGAGCCTGATCAGATGTGTGCAGGCAAGTGCCTTACGTGCTGTTCTATTTGGCATCTTTTTCCCGATCTCCTGAGAGGCAGCTGCTGTTAGGAATTTGGGGTATAGCTTTTCTGTTGATGTTGTTTATATTTGATTAATAGGTATATGTTCATTAATAGTGCAGTTTTTAAAAATCGTGGGCTTTTTCCCCTCTGGAGAAGCCTGTGTTCTTTGTTGAACATGTCTCTCTGTCTCTTTCTCTCTGTCTCTCAGTGAATTTCTGTAAATGAAACTTCTACTCCACTAAACTATAAGTATATGTGTACGTCTGTACACACATCATATACATATACACATACATACAAGTATATACACATATACATATATACACATGCACATGCATACATACATAAAGAGTCATGGTTGAGTTCCAATATTGTCTAGAATGTAGCGGTTTAGAGGTTGTAGAAATAGGTTCTTGTTTTTGGTCAGTCTTGATGGTGCTGGGGGACCATGGGTACCCTGGAACTCCTGAATGCAGATCCTGCACTCCAGCCCATTGAGGTGTCTCTGCAGTGTCCTACAACTTGTTTTTTTCTTGCTATTACTGGTATGAAGCCAATTCATACATCTGCTCACTGACACTTATCAGTGAGAAACATCATTTGTCAGGACGGGCCAGAGAGATACTACAGTGGGCAGGGTGCTTGCCTTGCTTGCAGCCAGCCTGGGTTTGATCCCCTGCATAAAGTCCCCTGAGCACAGTGCTAGAAATAAGCCTTCTGCCCATCTGAAATAAAGCAAAATAAAATCACTGTCACTGTCATCCCATTGTTAATCGATTTGCTAGAGCAGGCACCAGGAACGTCTCCATTGTGAGACTTGTTACTGTTTTTGGCATATCAAATATGCCACGGGGAGCTTGCCAGGCTCTGCCGCGTGGGCGAGATACTCTTCCGTAGCTTGCCAGGCTCTCTGAGAGGGGTGGAGGAATCGAACCCAGGTCGGCTGCGTGCAAGGAAAATGCCCGACCTGCTGTGCTATTGCTCCAGCCCAGAGCAAAGTAAAATAAAGAATTGGGGAGAAAAATGTTCAAGTTCTCATTTGACCATTAGGGGGGATGCCAAGACAGCAAATAAATGGTTCCTTCAGAGAGGTACAGAAGAAGTGCTGCCTGCATTAAAAGGACCTGGGTTATTTTTCTTCCTCGCTGCTTCTCCAAAAGAAATGAAGCCCTTTAAATGGATAAATGTGATCATAGCCTTTGGAAGTTTCATGATCGGCCTATAATAATAAAACTTCTGTGTAGGATGGCTGTAATTTGTTCCTTTCACATTCTATTTGGATTTCTTTTCTTAGCCAGTGCTGGCCTTGAAACAACCAAGACTGGGGTCAGAGTAATAGTGTAGCAGGTAAGGTCTTGTAAGTGCAGACCTGGGTTCGATCTCCGGCATCCCATATGGTCCCCCAAGCCAGGATAATTCCTGAGTGCAGAGTCAGGAGTAAGCCCTGAGCACCTCTGGGTGTAACTCTCATAGTCCTCCTAAAGTAATAGAAACAACCCAGGGCCTCACACATGCTAGGCAAGTCTTCTGCCACTGGATTTCTTTTAAGTTTCTGAAAAATTCCTGAAATGGAATTTAAAAATGTTTGGCCACACCCAGCAATTCTCAGGGATTCCTCATGGGTGGTGCACTGGGTGGGGTCCCAGATTTGCTGCCTGGAATAGAACCTGGGTTGGCTGCATGCAAGGCAAGCAGCTGAACCTCTGCATATCTCTGTGACCCCGGAATGAAATAGTTTTAAAATTGGCGGGGGGTGCTGAAGAGATAGTACAGTGGGCAGGGTGCTTACCTTCCATGAGCTGACCCGAGTTAATACCTCCTGCACTACATAGCACTGCCAGAAGTGATCCCTGAGCACAGCCAGATGATGCCCCAAAACTGAAAATAAGTAAAAATAAAATTCCAGGCAAGAGGAGATTTGGAGAGCTCACTTTTAGTTATTATTTGGGAGAAGGAGCTAGAACACAAACCTAAGGATTTACTATAAACTTCTTGATGTATATCTGACCCACTGGCCCTTATCTAGTTGCAGAGTTCTTCTTTAGACAGGAGTTTTCAGTCCTGTCTGTCACCTGTTTGCCTGCCACCCCTCACCATCTTCATTGAATCCCTCCTACCTTTTATACTTTAGCCAGATCCTTTGACTTCAAGTTAGTTGCTTTTTATTTTTTAATTTTTTTGTTTATTTTTTTTTGCTTTTTGGGTCACACCCAGCCATGCACAGGGGTTACTCCTGGCTCTGCACTCAGGAATTACTCCTGGTGGTGCTCGGGGCACCATATGGGATGCTGGGAATCGAACTCGGGTTGGCCACGTGCAAGGCAAATGCCCTACCCCCTGTACTATCACTCCAGTGCCAAGGTTCTGTTGCTTTTTATTTTGTTTGTTTTTTTAAATTTTTCTTCAGGTAATCATTTATTTATTCACTCAGTATTTGAGTGATTGAAATGTCTAATCACAAAAGACAGCATCTGAGTGTTATATATGCTATTCAATTTTTACTATTCTGAGACATTTTTATACTAGACCTGTAAATAAGGACACAAAATTAATAGAGAGGTTTAGTGACATCTATTTTTATGGTTTAGCTGTTTTATTTTATTTTTTTAAGTTTTATTAGTGAAACACCATGAGGTACAGTTGTAGACTTACAATTTTTGTGCTTGGGTTTCAGTTATACAGTGATTGAGTACCCATCCCTCCACCAGTGCCCATTTTCCACCACCAATGAACCCAGTAGCCCTCCCATTTCCCCACCCCCAACCCCGCTCCACCTCCATGGCAGGGCATTCCCTTTTGTTATCTCTCCTTTTGAGTGCTGTGGTTTGCAAAAGAGACATTGAGTGGCAATCATGTTCGGTCTGTAGTCTACTCTCATCGCGCTCTGTTGCTTTTTAAATGGTTGTCCTTAAGCACTGTCTGTTCCACCTTTCTCTGCTCCAGTTTTGATATCTTCCTTAAAATTAGTGATAGGTATGTTTATTTTCAGCTTACAAAACCCTCGGCAATGTCCAATGTCCAAGTGGTGATCAGAGCCTGCACCTGGCATAATCGAAGCTCTGGGTTGGATCTCCATTATCACAGGCTCTCTCCCACCACTCCTACCCCACCCCCTGCATCATGCCCAGGTGTGGCCCTGGTGTCCACTGGGTGCCATCTTACTTGAGCACTAAACCATTAGGCTAGTCATGCTAAGCTCTCTGGGAGTGGCCCCTGGCACCCATGACTCTGATAGCAGTGGTGTTAGCTCCGTGGAAGGAAGAAACGAGTTCATCATCGTGGCTGTTAACATGAACCCAACTTGACTTGAGATTGGAGAAGATGCTTTCAAAGTCTAATCTCCAGTAGCCTGTCTTTCCTTCCTGGCCTCTGACCTTTGTTTTCCTTTGACGTCCTCTACAGTTGTTGTATCATGTCCCCAATGTGCCATGCTGTGTTGTCAACTTCAGGAAAGGGCAGGGTGGGAAGGGGTGGAGGCGGAGAGCAAAAGGAAGTCTCTACAAATGTAATCATCAGTTTTCTCTGACCTTCTCGAAAAACACTTGTTAATCTGATTCTTCTAGGAATGCTGACCGTTCAGTTTAACCCCAGGACATCCAGGATTCCACTGAATGACATCTTTAGATGCAACAGTTTAATAGTTATGGAAAAAGAAAATGTTACCCAAACCTTTTGGGATGTGCATGTACAAGCTTTTGTCCCAAATGGCACAGTGAGCACAGAAGGTGAGTACTTCTCCTGTCTATTTCCTATACTTGACTCCACATTAGTGTCTACCCTGGCAGCTTATGATCGTCTTTGTTTCCTGAAAGCCTTTTTAGGTGAAGGTTTAAGCTTAACATCATGTACTAATTGAACTATAGCATTTTATGCATAATGGCGATTCTTGTGGAACTTGGGATTTGAAGTTTTTGGTTGGTGTTCTCAAGTGCTCAACCTGTAATGTTGGCAGCTGATAAAACCTCACCTTTGTTCATCTCCTTAGCTTTTCAAAGGAGCCAAGAGAAAAGCTTAGAAATGAGCTTGCTGTGTTCTTACCTCGAATTGTGTTAAAGAATTTTGTAACTGTTAGATGACTTTTGGAGATGAAATAATTTCTTACTCACCAGTTCTGGAAAAACCCCAGTCTTTCTGAAGAAGGGATTGAAATTCCTATGCTCTGCATAGCGCTTGAAAGGCTCCTTTGTGTTTAAATCCTTTGATAATCTCCAGTAAACCACTGAAACTTTATAATGTGCCCGTCAAGTTGACAGGGATGGGACAGGGGTTAGGCGTGGGGAGGGAATATGGGAACACTGGTGGTGGGTCTGGTGTTGAAATACTATATGTCTAACACTCAACCATCAGTAAATCACAGTTCTTTAATAAAAATAAATTTTAAAATATATACTTGAAATGACTGCTAGATGGGACAAAAAACAAATAATTTCTGTTAAACAGCATTCTTTCCTTAGAGTGATTATATGTGGGAAAGAAGGAAGGGACCAGTCCGAATAAGGTCAAAATACTTTCTTTTTTTTTTTACTGTGTTCTGATTTGGGGGGCCCATACCCAGAAGTGCCCTACTCTGTGCTTGTGATTGCTCCTGAGGGTGCTGGGGGAACCATGCAGTGCTGGGTGTACTGGGAATCAAGCTGCATATGGTCCCTCCTTAAAGAACCTGTTAGCCATAGCGAGTAGCTACAAGTATTTGTCTGCCGGCTTTGACCTAGAGCTTGCCTGTGTCTGAAGGAGCAGTTTGAAATCTGCAGCCCTATTTAGGTGCAAAAAGGCCACCAATGCTCTGTCCCTCCTCATAAGATCCTTTTGGTCTTCCGTTATGAGAAATGATTTGCTAGCCTTGGTCCTTGCAAATTAAAAATCAGTCTGCTTTCTCTGCAGGGGTTGGGGGAGTGGCAAATACCCGGCATTGCTGAGTGGGGGACCATGGAGCTCTGGGAGTGGTACCCAGGCCTTGGGCATGCAGAGCGCATGCAGAGCTCATTGAGCTGTCTTCCTGACCCACAATAAATCCACTGCCATTGATTTGTCCTTTTTGTTTGTTCTAGAGTTTCTGTGTGCTAAAGATAAGACCGCCACCACAGTGGTGCCCATCGTCTCTACCACCACCCCGCCTGCGCCTACCACCCCCACCCCCACCCCCACCCCCAAGGAAAATCCAGAGGTGGGAAACTATAAGGTGGTTAATGGCAATGACACCTGCCTTATGGCTACGATGGGGTTGCAGCTGAACATCACTCTTGATAAGGTATTGATGGCGCCATTCTTTTCTCTCTGTTCTTCCAATATGGTGGGCCAGCTTGCTGCCCAAGAGTAAGTAGCAGCACAGGAACCGTCCCGTTTTATGTTTTTAATTGTCTTTTGGTGTATGTGGTGGGGGGCTTGGGGGCACACTTGTGGTGCTCAGGGGTTATTCCTGGAGGTGCCAAGGGAACTAAACTGGGTCCAGCTGCATTCCATGACCCCTGTCCTGGGCTGCGTGAATCTTTCCTTTGGTAAATGGAGACTGATTATTGACTTGCAGAGCTTTGAGTCCTTTGCGGAATGTCACTGTCCAAGTGGTGTTGCCTTGGGCAGCAAGAAACAGCAGTTTAAAGGTGTCTTCGGATGGTGGTGGGGATGACACTGAACAGATTTAGACGCAGACACATGAGGCTGTACTCCCGAGAGACTAGAGAATATTGCAAAGCTAGTAGTCTGGCACGACAGTGTAATTTCAGAAATGTTTTTTAAAAGGACTCCTCGGGGTTTCAGTTCGCTTTGCCATCAGTAGCCCAGAGTTCAAACAGCTGGTCCTTATTTTCGTCAGTTTAAAATAGAACGCCTTCATATTTTTATCTGCAACTCTGACGGTTCCTGCCCTGGGAACATTGCAGCTGTTCCTTGTTTGTAAGCAGAGGAACGCAAGGGCATTCTGGTTGTAATGCTCCACAGAGACTCCAGAGGGCGTGCCAACCGGCAAATCTCCCTGCCACACAGTCTTGTGACTTCAACAGGCCAGGCAGATAGCTCTTGGGCTTCATTTCTTTTTAAGTGTGTGTGTGTGTCTGTCCGAGAGACGTAGTACAGTAGATATGGCACTGGGCTTGTGTGTGTGTGTGTCTGTCTGTCTCAGAGATAGTACAGTAGATAAGGCACTAAGCTTGTGTGTGTGTCTCTGTGGCTGTGTGTTTCTGTCTGTCTGTCTCAACCTGCCCAGTTTTGATCCCCAGTACCACCTCTGCTGGAGTGATCTTTGAGAACAGTCCCAAGAGTGATCCCTGAACACAAAGTCAGGAATAAGCTCTGAGCACAATTGGGTGTGGTCCAAACACTCCCCCGCAATTGCGCTTTCATTTGACTCATAACTGAGGAAGCTTTCCCCTCTTGATTTTCTTTCCATGTTTACGTTGTCTGAGTCCTAGTTCAGAGCCTTTCTTTTGGAAGTAAGAGCCCATAAACTCGAGTGTGTAGACAACAGGATGCTTCCATTCTCTGCTGCCATGAGTTGTCCTAGCAACTTGAGTTTTGCTCCAATTTTCGGCTAATGTGTTCCTCTCCACGTGTTCCCCTGAAGGGTCCTGTGCTTATTAATGTGAACCCCAATGTAACGGAGCCATCTGGGAGCTGCCAACCTCAGACTGCTCTACTGAGACTGAACAGCAGCAGCATTAAATTTCTTGACTTTGTCTTTGCTGTGGTGAGTAACAGATTGTTCTAAAGTTAGAGGCTTTGTTTTAGAAACATATCTGAGAGTGTGCATGTGTCTGTGTGGAAATATTTTACTTTTTCAGTACTACTGAATTGTAAGCATGGTACCTTGATGCCTCACGTATCCACACACCTGCGTGTGTGTGTGTGTGTGTATTTGATTTTGCAACTCCACTTAATGATAAGTGTAACATCTTGATCTCTGTAAGTGACTAAACAGTTCTGCTTTCAAAAAATATTTGTTCCAGGGCCACACCTGGTAGTGCTCACCATCTACTCCCATCTTGATGCTGGCTTGGCTGGTTGGAAGGGGGTGTGTCCCCCCTCTAAGAAGTGCCAGAGGGATCAAACACTGCTGGGGATTGATCTCTGGCCTGTTTTGTGCAAAGAATGTAGTCCAGCCCTTTGAGCCATCTCCCCAGCCCCTGGTGTGAAGTTTTACAAATAGCATTCAAGGACTAAAGATGTAGTTCAGGGGTTAAGGTGCATATAGCCAATTCTGGTTTGATTCCAGGTATCACATGGTTCCCCCAAGACCCATCAGGGCTGAGCTCATGCTCAGCACTCATCCCTGAGCAAAGAGCCAGGAGTAGCCTCCGAGCACTGCCATTTGTAAACTCCCCCAGATAAACAAATGGCCCATTTCTCTTTTTTCCTTTTTGGGTCACACCTGGCTATGCACAGGGCTTACTCCTGGCGCATGCACTCAGGAATTACTCCAGGCGGTGCTCGGAGAACCATATGGGATGCTGGGAATCGAACTCGGGTTGGCCGTGTGCAAGGCAAATGCCCTGTCTGCTGTGCTATCGCTCCGGCCCCATAAATGGCCCATTTCTAAGCTTGTAGTTTGTTTTGTTCCTTTCCTAGCCAGAAATAATTTCTCTCCTTTAGTTTTCATAGCTTAGCTCCCCTGTACTATGAGTATTGAGGGGAATTAATATCTTTTTTTTTTTTTTTTGCTTTTTGGGTCACACCCAGTGATGCAGAGGGGTTACTCCTGGCTCTGCATTCAGGAGTTACTCCTGGCAGTGCTCAGGGGACCATATGGGATGCTGGGAATCGAACCCGGGTTGGCCGCGTGCAAGGCAAACGCCCTACCCGCTGTGATATCTCTCCAGTCCTAACTTAATATCTTAATCTCCCTGGCCGGCTGCTACTAGTAAAGTGAGGCCAGACGACAAGTCTGGTTCATTTTTCAACCTGCTTTTTTGAGGAGGGGATACTTTAGGCCACACCCAGCTGTGCCTCAGGGCTTATTCTAGCTCTGTGCTCAGGAATCATTCCAGCCAGGGCTTGGCAGGGGTCCCTATGGAGTTCCAGAGATGGACCAACTGAGTATATGTGTCTATGTGACAAGTGCCTTTCCCGTTGCCCTATCACTTCAGCCCCAAGTTTAATTCATTTTGCCAACTCCCTGGAACTTGTAGGTATATGACCTTGCACATACTAAGTGCTGAAAGAATCTAAATCAAGGGCCGAAGTATTAGTACAATAGGCACGTGCTCTGTGCTCAGGAATTACTCCTGGTGGTCCTCAGAAGACCATGTGGGATGCTGGGGACTGAACCTGGTCGGCCACATGCAAAGCAAACATCCTACCCGCTTTACTGTTGCTCTCGCCCTAACCTTGTTTCCTTCTTTTTTTAAAAAATTTTTAAAACTTTTTTTTGTTTGTTGGTTCCTTCTTATGGCTTCTTCCTCACCCCATCCTATCAGTTGACCCTCTAGTCTCATCCTGGGGTTTCCCCATTTATGTGATTTTTTTTTTACCTGTGGCCACCTTGAAGCATTCTGGGTCCCTCTAACTCCTGTTTGAGAAACACTGATGTAAATGACCCGATGGATGAGGGTTTCAGAAAGACAGTAGTTGTGAGAGGAAGTCTAGAGGGTAAAAAGCAGGGTAGCAAGTTCAGTTTCTAAGACTTGGTCAGGATCCATGAGTGGTGACAGGAGGAAAGAGGGAGGGAAAGAGAGGCCAAGAAATAATACAGGAATTAAGGTGTTACTCCCGTGAGGCCCAGCCTATTTCGATCCTTGTCACCACATGGTCCCTAAACCCCCTCCCCCAGCACCTCAGGGTGTGGTTGAACCCTCCCATGATCCTCTCCAAACAGGAAGGGAATGTGTTATTTGGGGGGGGTCTTCTAATCCAAAAAGCAGAGCAAAGGGAAAAGCTTTTTCTGTTTACCTCACTACAGTGGATCCTAAGGACAGGACCTAATCCCTTGATTTTTATCTCCTGGGTGACAGGATTAGATTGCTTGTCTTCTGTTGATATCAAGATATTAACTGTACCCTTACCCACTGACACTTGTAATATGTTGATTAACTTGATGCTCTCTCTCAAAAACAGAAAAACAAAAACCGATTCTATCTGAAGGAAGTGAATATCAGCATGAATCTGGCTAATGGCTCTGGTAAGCAAAGTGCCAGTGGGGTGAGGGTTGGGGGTGGGTGATGGTGGAGAGTCTGGGTTTCATACAAGGAAAAGAAACCATAATTACTTAAATGGCACCTTTCTTTCTTTCTTTCTTTCTTTCTTTCTTTCTTTCTTTCTTTTTTTTTTGCTTTTTGGGTCACACCCGGCTATGGTCAGGGGTTACTCCTGGCTTTGCACTCAGAAGTTACTCCTGGCAATGCTCAGGGGACCATATGGGATGCTGGGAATCGAACCCAGGTCGGCCGCGTGCAAGGCAAACTCCCTACCCGCTGTGCTATTGCTCCAGCCCCTAAATGGCACTTTCTTTTAATGCCATAGAAGAGTCTGTGTGAAAATTGCCCCTGACCACACAACTTTGAAAAATCAGTAACAGAATTTGATTTTGTTTTTGGAAAAAAGTGTTCAGGGCTACTCTGTGTTTTTAAGTGTGATGATAATGGTTAGGGCCACAATGGATTGGTCGGTTGTAGAACATCTGTGGAAAGGTAGGGAACCACTTGCCTTCTGTTGGTGGCTCCTGTACCCCAGGTTCCCACGATTCCCTGTGAGAATCCTTAAGCACTGTCTGCCTTTGATGTTGCTCTAAGAAGCCAACTAACAGGTTTTCTCTTCTTGTTGCAGTTTTTAGCATGGCGAATAACAATCTTAGCTACTGGGATGCGCCCTTGGGAAGTTCCTATATGTGCAACCAAGAGCAGACTGTTCCCATATCTGGAACATTTCAGATAAATACCTTTGGTCTGAGGGTTCAGCCTTTCAATGTGATGGAAGGAAAGTATTCTACAGGTAAGGATTCAACAAGTTGTCTTAAGAATTTATGTTCTGCTTGTGACTGGTTACCCTTCCCTTTGAGTCACGGACATTGAAGTGTTGAAATAGAGAAATAGGAATTCTCCTGACCTGTAGCCTTCTCATAACCTGGAGCAAGTTGTGTACCTATGGATTTGGCTCAGCATTTTGCAAGTGGGGAAATTTTGTGTGTGGCTGCAAAAAAAGCCATTTGCAAGCACAATTCTCAAAGGTCAGAACTGGAAGCTGTTTTGAGTGGGCTGGATCCTAAGTTCAGATGTTTCTGGGGTGGATAACACCTGGGAGCAGTCGATTTGATTATCTTGCCTCTGTTTTCTTTTTTAACTTTTCGGGGTGACGGTCACACCCCTGTGGTACACAGAGATCACTCCTGGTGGTGCTTTGGGCGGGGGGGGGGTGCATCTGTGGTGCTGGGGGCTAAAACTAAGGTTGACAGTGTGCAAGGCAAGCGCCTTAACCCTGTCTCTCTGGCCCAGCATCAGTTTTCTTGGGGCTTCCCCCCCCAACTTGTACCCCTCCCCGGAAACATCTTTATCCTTGAGTGTAAAGATTTTGAGCTCAACTAGTTTTGTTAACAAATGGTGGCAGCAGCAAGGCCTTAAATATCAAACCAATTTGGCCAATCAGTGTGATCTGGAGTGTTTCGAAAGCAAGTGAGGTGAGGTGTTTCGGAAGCACTGCACAGGGTTCATGATGCTGTCTTCCAGATTTTTTTTCTTTTTGGGTCACACCCAGTGATACTCAGGGGTTACTCCTGGCTTTGCACCATATGGGATGCTGGGAATTGAACCCAGGTCGGCTGCTGTGCTATCACTCCATACCCTGTCTTTCAGATTTTTAATGAAAGTTTCAGGAAAGGGCTCTGTCCTAGTGTGTGTCTGTGAATACGAAAGACACGTTTAACATCACAAAACTGACATGTGAAGGAACAAAAAAGAAGTGCTTAAGGTTCCTGAATTACCTTTTTAAATAGATTATTTTAAAATAATTGCGCATCACAGCTCCTGAACAGAGAGCAGTCCAGTCATCTCTAGCTCCCCCTCCCCCCTCTTTTTGTTTTGGTACCACACCTGGCGGTGCAGGAGGGAACTTAATGAGGTGCCGGGGCTCAGCCAGGTCGGTGGCATGTATGGCAAGTGCCTTAACTACTGCACTGTTTCTCCAGCCTTTCACATCCTTTTGAAACAATTCTTTGATTTAGAAAGACTTAGATGCTGAGTCTAGTTATTTATTTTTTGGTCTTTGGGTCATGCCTGGAGATGCTCAGGGCTTACTCCGGGCTCTGACCCCAAGATTCACTCCTGGTGGTGCTCAGTGCACCACATGGGATGCCAGGGATCAAATCTAGGGGATCCTACCCGGGTTGGTCTTGTGGAAGGCAAGCGTCTGCTCTCCTTTGCTGTCACTCCAGCTCCTGGAAGCACTGTTAGAAATGTAAATTAGCTGGGAGCCCTTGAACTGCCATTGCATAGAATGAAATACCTAGCGTGGCTTGTTGATCCAAAAGAAAAATAGGGTCTTCACCCTACCATTATAATTTTTTTTGTTTTTGTTTGTTTTGGGAGGCCTTACCCGGGGATGCTCAGGAGACTGGGTGGCACAGCTGATCAAATCAGGGCACCTGCATGCAAAGCATGTATGTTCTCAGCCCATTGAGCCTCCTCCCTGTCCCTCCTCTCCTGCCATTCTTGTGACCAGAGAGATTAATCACGCTTTAAAAATATTTTCCAGAAATTCATTTTCCCTTTTGTGAATCTTGCGTTTATTCTTCAATTACTTGGATCCTTTAAGCTAGCTTTATTTTTAGAGTCTTTATGTACCACCCCCTACATTATTCTCATTTTATCCAGCTTTGTGCTTAGAATCTAAAATCCTTCGCAGTGCTAATATCAGTGCAGACCCATTTATCTAGTCAGCTGTGTTCCTGCTGTCATTGGGAAGTGGGTTTTTTTAGTGGGCTTTTTTTATGTCCATAAGATTAAAAATGTCACTCCAAGGAACCCACAGCATTTAATACTGATAGTGAATGTACACTCTATTTGTAGAACTTGATTCTTGGCTGTGGCTACCTATAAATACAATGTACTGGTAATTCTGGAGTGTATCGGAGAAGGAAATAGACTTGTAGTAAGGTCAAAGAGTGCTGATTGGATTTTACTGGAACAGGCTCCTCTAGAAATAGATAAAAACAAATTCCAGTGTGCCGCTGGGTCTGACCAAATTGATCCTTTATAGTATCATAAACACACTCAAATTAATGAGTTCCCAGTATCTTTTGCGGCCTTCTGAACCAGGGTACAGTTTAAGTCTAGGCTCTGCACACTTTATGTGAAAACTCAGCCATTCAGCACTGGGTTTGGAGGCCCTACGCTCTGCCCTACCAATCCACACCTGCTGTATTAGCACACAGTGGTTAATAGGCATAGTAAGCATGTATATGTTTCAGCAAGCAGGGAACTTTCTTTATGGAGACTGAGCTATGACTTTCTTCAAGTAAGCCTCACTATCACCTACTGAAAGTCTTTCAAAAAATTTTCCAACCATTCAAGACTTTAAAATAAAAAGCCGTTTTCATCTCTTCAGCCAGGTTTGAACTCTTGTTTTCCTACCCTCTTGCTCTGAAGGATTTCAGAGCCAAATTTGGCTCTTGCTGATTTCCCTGGAGGCATCTACTCTCCCACTACTGAGAGACTATATAGAAATGGGCTAGATGAGAGGTTTCCATTTGATTAAGTTTTACCTTCCTATTTGGGGAAGGACTTAGAATATACTGCATTCCACCACAAAATTGTCGCATGTTTTATAACAATTTGGGGGGGGGGGATGGACCAAAAAAAGATGGATTATGACTGTTAAGTAAACTTACCCAAAGTGGTGCCAGTGTTATTTACAAATGGGGTGCACCATTTATATAGTGGCAGTGATTGTGTGGTGAAATACAGCAAACAGATAATACATTCTGTATTTTCTTACCCTTACTGTTTGGAAGTAAACCATTCCCAATTGATATAGATTTATTTGGGTCTTGACTATTAACCATTCCTTGACATGGAACAATTTCTTGAGCATTCCCAGACAAACCCCGTCATCCCCCCCAAGAAAAAACTTACCAGATCATAACAAATAGAAATGTTCTACTTATGGCTAATAAGGGAGGAAGACCTATATATGTATATGTTCATTTGTAGATGACTGTATCAGCACACATGCATGAATATGAATGAAAGAACAATTTTATTTTAGGATTTTTAATTCTAGAACAGTTCATAATTTTCTATAGCTTTATTCTTAAAATGCATCTATTAAAATACATCAGTTACTTACAGTTGATCTTAGAACATTTCTGACATTTGAATCAACATCTTTTTACTTTGCAACATTCTCCTTTGATTATACTCATTATTTGTTACACACTTTTTCTCACCTACAGCCCAAGAGTGTTCGCTGGATGATGACACCATTCTTATTCCAGTTATAGTTGGTGCTGGTCTTTCAGGCTTGATTATCGTTATAGTGATTGCTTACCTAATTGGCAGAAGAAAGAATTATGCTGGATATCAAACCCTGTAACATTAATCCACACGTGATCTCTGTTAAAAACAATAAAGCAAGTACAAGTTCCAACATGCAATACTGTTCCACTTAAGGTATATTTAGGTATAATCAACTTAAGGTATATTTAGCATATATGATCTTAAGCTGGGTGGTTATGGGGACTTTAGAAATTACACAAATGCCCCACAGCAATAAACAAATTCATCAACAGATTTTAGTTTACCTCACTAAAGGTATTTAAAACTATTCCTTCAGCAAAAGGCATGTGCAAAATCTTCAAGTGATAGATTAGAGAATCTATTTTATTCTCTCCAATTATTATTTTAGTATTTTCACTTTAGATATTCTGATCAGAAATCAGGTTAGGAAAAGCAATTTAAAACAGAGATCTTTTTTTTCCTGCATGTTGTTGAATTGTGACCACACATTCTACAGTGGATTTGTACTTGCTCCTTTTGCATTTTTGGGGTGATTTTGTTTGCAGGTGAAACTGGCTGCTTTGGCATTGTTGCATATTTTACCTATGAGATAAAGATCTGCAAAGGGTCTGGCATTAGGATCTTCTTAGTCGTGAATGCTTCCTAATGCCTTTTTGAAGACGCACGTCTTTGAATATGGCTATTATGATAAAAGATATGAAAGCTTCTTGAATTTTAGAGTAGGTATTAAATTTTATTGTTTAATATTTTTTCCTCCAAAAACCAACTGGATATTTCAGTCTTTTAAATTTTAAGACACACTTGGGCTGGAGAGATACTACAGTGGATAGGGCAGTTGCCTTGCACATGGCCTTCTTTGGTCTGATTACCAACACCCCGAGCCCTGCCATGAATGATCCCTGAGCTCAGAGCCAGGAGTAAGCCCTGAACACCACTGGGTATGATCCACGAAACAAAAAAAAGAGATATATTGCAAGACACAAAACTTTTTCTACTGGGCATTTCAATTCATATAATGGGTGCTTTAGAGATAATTGCTATGCTATATACTTAGGGCATTAGTCCTTTGTACCCGTAAATTGGGCTTTACATGCCGTGCTCAAATCAATGTAGATTTCTCTAGCCTTCCAAGATCTTTGGTGAAGGTTTTATTTCCTTTAAAAAGATACAAGTATGTCCTAGAACCTAGAATGTACTTACACTTAGAAAGTAACTTGCACCTAACTCAAAGGTTTTGATCTTCTCTTAGTCCATTAAAGCTTATTCTTTGTTTCCAAGTTACATTGATTGCTCCAACATTTACTAATTTGGCTTTCACATTTAAATGGTTCTTTGCTAATCAAAACTTACATTGTCATTGTTCATTATGGGAGATCATTATTAATTCATGGACTTTTTGGGTTCAGTCATGTGCTCTGGGGAAATGCGGCAATTGTCCATTTGCTCTATACCTCCAAATATTTATATGAGCAAGAAACCACTTTGGCTTGAGAGTTAACACAGTAAGGATCTCATATTTCTGAGAAGGCTCTTTCATGTGTTGGGATGGCTCCCCAAATATTAAAGATTTATTCATATGGAGCCATCTATGGAAGGTTTCTGTGTTTGTGTGTGTGTTGTGTGTGTGTGTGTGTGTGCACACGCACCCAACCTCTATCCCTGTTTACTGGAAGATAAGGAAGTATGTAGTTTCCAAAATTTTGTTGAAAGAATTTGTCTAGCTTCACACACAAACACACGCACACACACAGAGAGACAGAGACAGAGACAGAGACAGACAGATAGATCATGACTATTTAGATGTCTACAGTTATAAAAAAACTTTCAGCTTAAATTGGAATGCTGTTTTTGCCCACTTTAATTGGCTGTCTCAGGGGCCGGAGCGATAGTACAGCAGGTAAGGCATTTGCCTTGCATGCTGCCAACCAGGTTTTATCCCTGGCATTCCATATGGTCCCCTGAGCACTACCAGGAGTAATTTCTGAGTGCAGAGCCAGGAGTAACCTTTGAGCATTGCTGGGTGTGACCCCAGAAGCCAAAACAACCACCTTAACTGCCTCAGAACCAGATTTCTGATTATGTAGCCCCTCTCTTAAAGCCATGTACTGATAACTTCAAACACCTTTTACAAACAGAACAGTAACCTCCTTTCTAAAATTCTTTTTAAAAAATTTAAATAGTGAATTAGTCTCAGATTTGTTAACCTTTAGAGAAAGCTTTTAAGAAATCGGACTGTAGATATTTCCTGAGTCAAAACAAAGCAGTTTTTTTTGGGAAAAAATTAAAATTGGAAGCACAAATGGGTGGCACTGGCTTAACGCTGTTAATGTTTTTAAAAATTTCTACATTTAGATTATATACCTGATTCATATTAAAATACCTCTATTAAGCACGGTTTTATAGAAAATCTGACTTCATTGGATATTTTTGTATTTTACATGGGCCAGTTTATATACTGTTATTTACACGATTATTTCCTGTAGCCACATATTCTTTGTACCTTCTGTAATTTTATTTGTTTTACTGGGTCTGCACCATGATGGTCTAACAATCTATTTGGTTCTGGATGTTTTTCGTGTTTTAGCATTTGTATAAAAAAAACTGGTCCATGTAGGTACTTTTTGTGTTTTTTTCCTCAAATGTTTAAACCACTAGTTTATGTATCTCTCAAATATTTGCCTGTCCATTTGCTCAACATACTGCTTCAAAATAAACAATAAAGATTCTTTTCTTAAGGAAATTTGTTTACATTTTTTCCCCATTGGTCAAGTCAAGATTTTGTTTACTACAGAATAACTATTTCTTCCCGAAGGAAAACCTTTTAGAAATGCTTAGAATTGGGCTCAATTATTTCCGTAATATTTGTAAATGACTCTTAGAGAAAGAAAGAGAAGGTCTATAGCTAGATCCTGCTGATTATATTCTTAGCTCACCTGAAAAGTCTTCGAACTTTCCAGGTTTTCTTACCAGCCACTTTATTATTATTAGTTTAGTGATTTTTTTTTGTTTCTGCGGCCACACCCTACAGTGCTCAGGAGCTATTCCTGCCTCTGCTCAGGAGTGACCCCTGGTGGTGCATGGGGAGATCTGTGCGGTTGGTGTTGGGGATTTGAATTGGGTTTGATGGAGTGCAAGACAAGCCACCTGAACTATTTCTCAGTTAGCAGCCCCCAACCCCGCCCCAGTCACTTGAGAGCATAACCAAAATACATGAAGTCATCTTAATTAAAATAAAGTATCAAACACATACTTTATTTTAATTTTGGAGTGACACCTGGAAGTGATCTAGTCACTCCCCAGTTTGAGGAATGGAACCCAGGCCTCCTGCATGCCAAGCATGCATTCAGTCTGTTGAGCCATCTCTCTGGCTAGGCACATAGTTTGCAAAGTATGTTTCAACTAAAGTTTCTTGCATTTTTTGGTGTTATTTGCATTTTGGGGTCACGCTGAGTGGATCTCGGGAGCTACTCTCAAGTCTGTGCTCCAGGGTTACTCCCGGCAATACCCTGGGGACTATGTGATGCTGGGGATTTAACCCAAGCATGTGAACACATTGTTCTATCTATCTATCTAGCCTCTAAAGTTTCTTAGATTTTTCTTCTTTTATTTGCCAAATGGTTACTTTTATTCTTTTTTGGGAGGATTGCATAATTGACGGTGCTCAGGGGTAATTCCTGGCTATGCACTTCTGGCGATGCTCAGGGGACCATATGGGATGCTGAGGACCAAACCTGGGTCCAACATGCAAGGCAAGCACCCTATCTGCTGTACTATCTCTTTGACCCCTACTTTTATTCTTACTCATGGGGTTATTTTATCAGTTTTATTAGAGGCATCGTGATTTGCAGTACTGTTCATAAGATTTCATGCATACAACATTTTAACATCACATCCTCCAACAGAGTATCCACTTCCTACCACAGTTGTCCTAGTGTTAGAGGAATTTTATTACAAGACTAATATGTTAAATTTTGTTTTTTTTTTCAGCATTTTTTCTGTGTTTCTTTAGGAAATTCTGTCTTGAGTTCATCTTGCTTTTGAAACTAGTATAACCATGTTTGGTTAATGTACCAGTTACTTGCATATACTTGAGTAGATTTAAATTTATGTGATGTACTTCAGTTTATCGATAATAAATTAAATGTGACAAAGGAATTAAATTTTTTTCCTTATTTTTTCTTTTTGGGTCACATATGGTGATGTACAGGGGTTATTCCTGGCTCTGCATTCAGAAATTACTCCTGACGGTTCTGGGGGACCATATGGGATGCTGGGAATCAAACCTGGGTCGGCCACGTGTAAGGCAAATGCTGTACCCTATGCTATCACTCCAGCCCCTTTTTTAGCTTTTTGGGTCACATCCAGCGGTGCACAGGGGTTACTCCTGGCTCAGCACTCAGGAATTTCTCGTGGCAGTGCTCAGGAGACCATATTGAGTGCTGGGAATCGAACCTGTGTTGGCCTCATGCAAGGCAAACGCCCTATCTGCTGTGCTATTGCTCCAGCCCCCCATATAATTCTTAACTGATTTTCCCAAGAAATTTTTAAGTATATATCTTTTCAAACGTATATGCTTAGCTGACCAACACACTGAAGTTTTTTAATTTTTTTTTCTGAACAGAACATTGAGTATTAGTAGTACTAGAAGTAGGACTCCTAAGCAGTACTCAGGAAGTCCTGGGCCCAAATGGTGATTCTCTGCCAACTGGGCCGGTGGTTCACTGCAAGGGCACAAGGGTGTGCCATTTAGCCACCCCAGTGGTGCTGGAGTCCTCCAGGGCTGTTATTTTGTGATAACTCTGGAGACCAGGTAGTGTCAGGAATTGAACCTGTGTTGGCTATAATGGCAAACAAGGGATGTGCCCTTACGCATGTACTATCCCCTGCCCCTATAACTGTTTTTACAAATTCATGAAACCACTTAAAATTTCATTAGCAGGCCTACAGATAATGGCTTAAGGGGTAGACACATGCCTTGCAATGACTGCATGTGCCTTTAGGACCTGTGAGTTTGGCCCCTATAAAAAAAATTAAGAAAATTTCATTAGCCATGCTACTTTAAACACACAAATACAATTTTCCTTTCCCCGGGAATGTCTTCAGTATGATCTCAAGTGTACATTATTAATCAGCTAGATCAGGTCAGGATGACTTACGGATGGAATTTTTTTCTTCAGGGTATGATCTATGAAAATGTCTATTTTACTAGAATTTATTTCTGTTGCCTAAAGAATTTTTAAAGCTTCAATTCATAGAATCAATAGTTATTATACATTAGTACTTCACATACTAATTGAGAGCATTTTAAGTAAGTGACAGCATCTGGAAAGATCTTGGTATTAGCGGAATTGCCTTTTTGATCTACTCTGGGAATATTTGTCTTATATGAAAGCCTTATTGGCAGTATTTATGAAAGTCATTTCAGTACTAGGTCAAATACCCAATTTGGGAAAGAGAGGACGATGAATCTGTTGCCAGAAGAAGAAATTAATGATTAAAAAACACATAGTCAGTTCAAGGCCTAATACTTAATGGCACATGTCACCTGCTGGTTTCTCTGCTGGGTGGTAATTTGGGAGATTGAAGGGGAAGAATTAACTGGGCCCACAAGTCACATCTGGCACCATCAGCTATCTGGGTTTTTAACAGAACAAGAAACAAGTCTAAAAGATCATTGAGCTTGCAGCCAAAGTCGATGTCATAAAGTCCACTCTCAGGATTGCATCTTGTTCCCAGTTAATGCCCCCGAGGCCAGCAAAAAACCTGGCACATTTCTTAATTGCAAGTACCATCAGAATTGCCTTGCAGCCTATTCATTCTTTTTTTGACACAATTCTAATAAGCTTAATTATCTGATTTATCCATCCCTGGAAGATTGCAAGGGAGGAGAACTAGGGCAAAAAGAGGCCAGGGAATGGAAAACAAAAGAGGTGGCCCAGCAGTTAGCGCTTTCTTCCCTCTCTGCAAATGAATCTCCTTGCTCCTCTCCAGATAGAGTAGATTTTCTTGTCCTCGTCAATGCGTCTGGATTCCTATCTGATCTAGAAAGCCGTATACCATTTACCATTTTCAATCGATTAATGCTTATAATGCTGATGGCTCATCAATGTTCATGGCTCATTACCTCCTGATAAGCATATACTAATATTCTTTCTCGACCTAATATTCCCATCTACTACTCCCCTCCCCTTCTATGTTGTGTACATCTTTCATCACAAGATTTTTTGGGGGGGCCAGGATAGGGGTGGGTTTGGGCCAACTTGTCTATGCTCAGCGCTTACTCCTGGGTATGTGCTCAGGGATTACTCCTGGGAATTGAACCTGGGACAGTTGTGTGTGGAGCAGGCACCTTACCCATGTTAGTATCTCTTCTGCCCTCTGATCTCAAGTTTTTATCTTCTAACCAATCTCTTCCCAGTCATTCATAAGCCGCAGATTTATTTATTTGCTTTTTGGGTAATACCCAGCGATGTTCAGGGGTTATTCCTGGCTCTGCACTCAGGAATTACTCGTGGTGGTGCTGGGAAGACCATATGGGATGCCAGGGATCAAATCTGGGTCAGTTGCGTGCAAGGCAAATGCCCTACCATAGCGCTGTGCTGTCGCTCCGGCCCTCGCATATTTTTTAAACTAAAAAAATTTTTTTTATTGAATCACTGTGAGAGAGTCCCTTACAAAGCTGTTCATGGTTAGGTTTCAGTCATATGTGTTCCAACACCCATCCCTCCACCAGTGTACATTCCCCAGCTCCAGCGTCCCCAGTTTCCACCCCCAGTCTGCCTCCGTGGCAGGTGCCTCTCTCTCTCTCTCTCTCTCTCTCTCTGTGTGTCTGTCTGTCTCTCTCTCTTTGCCCCCTCACTCCCCATCCCCTCTGGGTTTTTTTTCTTTCTTTTTGGGTCACACCCGGCGATGCACAGGGTCATGCACTCAGGAATTACTCCTGGCGGTGCTTGGGGGACCATATGGGATGCTGGAAATCAAACCTGTATCAGCCGCGTGCAAGGCAAACCCCCTACCCACTGTGCTATTGCTCCAGCTCTTCGCCCCATTGTGATTTTAAACCTGCAGAATTTGACACATACTCCCCAGACCCTCCCAACTGGAAGATTCAATGGACATTTCTTAGATTTCTTAAACATCTTACACTATTCTCCCAAACTTGGTGAAACTGTTTTCTTCCTTAGCTTCTGTGGTACCATTTTTTAGTGGTGCCAGGAATCAAACCCTGGGCTTCACAAGTGCAAGATATTTGTACTACCACTGAACCACATTACTAGCCTGTTTGGGTTTTTTTTCCCGTTGGTAGCGGCCGGGACAGATTTCTGCCCTGTTGCTTAGGGAATGTTCCTGGTTTTCTGCTATGGAGTGACCCCTGGTAGTGCTCAGAGGACCATATGTAGCACTGGAGATAAAACTGGTGTCAGCTACATGCAAGGCAAATGCCTTAGTTCCTATGACTATGTTTCTAACCCAGTTTTGTTGGGGCTACACCTGGTAGCTTGGGGTGTTGCTCCTGGGACATGTTCCTTAGCCCATTAAATTTTTACCTCAGTATGGTACTTTATTTTTACCTTCATTCTTCCTGCACCTTTGCCGTTCCCAAGGGTTTGCCCTTGCCCTCTTTTTTTTTTCTTTTTGGGTCATACCTGGTGATGCCCAGGGGTTACTCTTGGCTCTGTAATCAGGAGTTACTCCTAGCGGTGCTCAGGGGACCATATGGGATGCTGGGAATCGAACTAG